TTTGCCGTTGTTAATTGTACACGGATGGCCTGGTTCCATAATGGAATTTTACAAGATCATTCCATTACTGACCTCACCGAGACCCGAGCACGATTTCGTATTTGAAGTGATAGCGCCTTCGCTGCCTGGATTCGGTTTCTCCAGCGCAGCTACGATACCTGAACTTTCGAGTCTTCAAATGAGCGTGATTTTCAAGAATCTCATGTTAAGGCTCGGCTATGATAAGTATTATGTTCAAGGTGGCGATTGGGGTGCCATTGTCATTCAAACCATGTCGTGTCTATATCCGCAACAGTAAGTTCATTATCTAAAGCTTTATCAGTTGAACCTATAATTTGATGCCTAGCATTAAAGGTGTACATAACAACAATGTAAGTTAATGCAAATTGTAGCGTCTTGGGTATGCATTCCAATTTATGCTTAATACTCAGTAAATGGGCTCTACTGAAAAACGCATTGAAGAGTTTTTCTTCGTTTTTACCTTGTGCTAATAAAACTAAGAGAAAAGGTTTTATCGGCCAGTTTCTGGCGGAGACTGGATATTATCATATTCAAGCTACGAAACCGGATACAGTTGGTACGCAAAACGTATTTTATATTATACGAAAAGAATTAGCGTCCTGAACTTATATACGTCCATTATATAAATTGAAATTGCAAGAGAGTTTTGCGTGTATGTTAAACAAAAATCATGTATCTCTTCAAGCGCGTCGCCGTGTGTGTTTCAGGAGTCGGACTAAACGATTCACCTGCCGGCTTAGCATCGTATATCATCGAGAAGTTTTCTACCGGCACAAATGTGTCTTACAAATACAGGGAAGACGGTGGATTTCTGGAGAAATATACGTACGACGAATTGATCGACAACCTAATGATCTATTGGGTGTCGAATAGTATGACTACGGCCATGAGAATATACGCTGAACAGTACACCAAGTCGAACAGATCCCTGACGGCAACCCTGAATTCGTACGTAACTGCAATGTTATCGCAAGAATTACTGTTATCGCAACGTAACTGCAAAATATCTTTTTTTCTTTACAGAATACCGGTTAAAGTTCCCAGCGCCTGTGCGCAGTTCCCTCACGAAATCATGGCGCAAAGTCCGGACGAACTGAGAACACGATTCGTGAATCTCTTACGAATTACCAAAATGCCTCGAGGTGGTCATTTCGCGGCATTCGAGGAGCCCGAGTTACTCGCAAATGATATATGGATTTCCATCGACGAGATCGAGAAGTGGAACAAAAAGCACAGGGAAACAATTTTTTATGAATAAGAGGACAAACGTAATTCATAAACGAGAAGAGCATAAATCGCGCGTTATTCGAAATTACAAGGGCATAATGTATTTTTTATAACTTTTTTATAAAGATTTTCTATTTTCAGTATGTTTATATGAGATATAAACGATCTTTTTATCTTTATTAGTGTAGAAAGGGTGTTTTCAATACTTACTATTCGAAATTACAAGGGCATAATGTATTTTTTATAACTTTTTTATAAAGATTTTCTATTTACAGTATGTTTATATAAGATATAAACGATCTTTTTATCTTTATTAGTGTAGAAAGGGTGTTTTCAATATACTTTGTATTTTAGATAGTATATATTTTATGAAGTTTAATGAGATACGAAATTATATGTTTTAAATATGTTTTGAGTTATTTTAATTACAAGTTACAATTTGGTCGTTGCATAATTTTCAAACACGGCGACGATGGTGTTTAAAGAGCAGCAACGCGTTTTCACTCCAACTCGACTGTGACGAATCTTAATTGTTATCGAACAACGAAGAACGCCACAGGCAATGCTGACACAAAGTTGAACTTTCGAAAGACCGTGGTCGCCGTGGTGCAATTAACATCGAAAACTCAGGTATAGATAGCTGCTTGTTTATCTTATGGGTAACATGATCAATTGATACAAGCACGATTTTTCTCGACGAAATTAACGATCAGTGAGCCTCTGTGATGAAAATCCAGCTAAGAGATTTGCATTTTTTAAATTATTTTATATATAATGTCGAAGCATTAAAGAGAAATGAATCAAACACGTACGTTATTATATAGAATGTTCAGCGTAATAGTCCGTACTAATTTTAAGACACTTTTGGCAATTTAAAAAAAAGATTTCCTTTCAATTTTTATTTGTCGCAGTTATAGCCTGGGTAAAGCAGAAAAAATTCATCTTTTAATTAAAACAATGGACAAACAAGGGCAAATGAGCCAAAGGCAAGTTATTGGTAGCCAAAAAGCAATTATATTTAAATCGGATCCAGACGTTTCGGCTTCAATTAGGCCATATTCATTGGATCAATATAAATTATAG